GCTAGGTCTGCTGTTAGGGAAGTTGATTCACTGTGTTGTGTTAGACAATTTTTCTCTCTAGTATCTATCTTACATAGTTATAAATCTACCATTCGTCCATGCTTTGAATATTGCTGTCACATAGGAGCGAGAACAATAGAAGTGTAATCAATAAGACAGTAGTAGCGATTGACGCTGCATTTAAATTTTTGAAGATCAAGCTTCACTGGGAAGCCGGAAGAGAGTTCCGCAAGTGAGAAGTGCGAGAAAAGAAACTGTTAGCATAGGACTTACACTTACATCTAGACATTTCAACTGTAAAAATGATGAAATCTTGACGGTAATCTAGTCCTGCGCTTAAATTCATAAAGTCTAAGTATCATAACGAAGAGCTCATCTGAACAATTACCATGAATGTATTTATCCAAAAGGTACAGGAAAGTAAATTTACGGCGGTTGGAAAGTGACTGAAGACGAGCCATCAGATAAGGGCTAGTAACATTGATAATACTTCTTTCGGTTATATCAGGAATCTCCCAATATACAACAGGAGCACCGAGCCATATGCAGCAGCAATATTCTAAACATGGACGAATGGTGGACTTGTAGATATGTAAGATAGATTCTGGAGAGAATGATTGTCTAACACGACACAATGAACCAACTTTCCTAGCAGCTGACCTAGCAATGGATTCAGTATCCTCCTTCCACTTCATGTCAGCAGAGAATGATATCCCGAGAAACCGCAACGAGTCACTCTCCTGATGATTAGCATCAGCCATGCTGATAGGAAGCAGAAAGGGCTTACCTTGACTTTTTCGAGAGAGAGATAAAAAAATAACTTTTTCGCGAGAGATAAAAAAAAAACAACAACAAACAAACCAGAAACAAAACACTGTTCAAATTCGAAGGGTCAAAAATTTTGCGGCTGGGAAATTGATGAAACCTTGCCGCCAATCGAGTAGTACGCTATCCATAAAGTTTAGGTAGCAAAGAGAAAAACTCGTCAGATCAATTACCGTGAAAATATTTATAGAAAAGACACAGAGAAGTATCATGACGCCGGTGAGAAAGTGACAGAAACCGAGATGCCAGGTCAGGACAAGTAGCACTGCAGATTCTTTTTTTATAGTGTGCGATGGATAAATTATTGACTAGATTACGGAAAAATGAAAATAACACTGACATCTCATTTTAACAGATACATTTACAAAAATTACAAAATATCTAGAAAGACGAAAGAATAGATTTCAATAAAATCGCCATTGTCTTCAATCACGGCCTCCAGACGACTTCAGAATCTTCTGCAACTCTTCTGGGCGGTCTCCTTGTTTAAGTTAGTGAATACTACCATAATCCTTGCCTTCAGTTCATCTTTGGTGTATAAAGGAGTTTTGTTGGTCTCTCGCTAAACTGCACCCCACAAATAATAATCAAGGGAGTTGTAGGCTGGGGAGTTGGGTGGCCAGATGTAAAGGGTGATGTGGTCGCAGAAATTGTCTGACAGCCATGACTGGGTTCTCCTGCTTTTGTGCTGTGTAGTACTGTTGCCAGACCTAGGGTCTTCCAGCCACCCTTTTGACCCAGAGCAGCACTACCTCCTGGGAAGATGACGTCGCCATCTTTAGTGATCACTCTAAACACCATGATGTTAACTTGATATTTGGTTTTCATCACGCTCGGTATATATTTTGTGGATAAAGCAAGCCAACGGTTGTTTTGTGTGTTCATTAACTTTTCCGATCAGATTCTTTCTCGTCTGAGAAAGACAGAAGCATGTTCGGTTTTAGGGGATGCTTGAGTTTGTTCAAAAGCTTCGTAGCGTTGTGGTCTTTTCTCTTGTCCTTCATGACTTGGGATAAAAATTGACTCTTTCTCATCATGTATGAGAAATACAGATTGTCTTCATGTACTACCTGCCTGATAAGAAACTGGTTGTGGACTTGAGTAACTTGGAGGGATCGTTGTCAATCATAGCCCACAAATTCGAGAGTTCTTTTCTTATCAGAACGATCAGAGTTCTGAGTTGCCCTACCTTCGTAATCACCATTAGACTCACCAACCTCTTTCCAAATCCGTTGTACTGTCCAACATTCTTGAAATGTTTGTATTGGAGCTTCTTGCGCGAATGCTAAGCAGTACAGAATGCCATTTCCAAATTTCTGGCGGAGTGAATTGTGTCATCGTTCTCACAAACGGTGTACAACTGACTCTACTATACAGTACAGTCGACAAAATCGAAAGCAAACAACGCGCATGCGCGAAATTTAAAACAAAGATGGTGACGATTTACCCATCGCATCCTGTATTTTATGAAGAATCTCTTATTATATAGCAGAAGCATCAGACCATTTATTACAGCAATATTTAATAGACGGAGGAATCGTAGACTTATCAATGTATAAGATAGATTCTGTCGAGAAAGAATGTCTAGCGCGATAGAGTGAACCAAGTTCCTTTAAACTTATTTTTAAAGCACCACAGTGTAAATCTGATTACAGTCGATCTCAGTATGATTTAACATTACGATTTATGATTGCTTTCAACCCCGGATTTGTTTAAACAGATACAAAAAAAAATCGCTTCAATCTAATTTATCATTTAGCATCTGACCCAATTCCACGATCCATTGACCAGTGTCTTTGTTCAGCGTCCGGCGAATAATTCGTAGTCTGCGAACTCCAATGCCAGTGATATGCAAGTCATTAATTATTTTATCTTTGTCTGTCGCATTTTATCGATTGTCAATGCTATTTGCGTTGTCGCCAACAGAATTATAGTGGCATCATCGCGGCTTTAGAGAAGCTTACAGAATAAATGCAAACAAATCACGGGCGGCCATTTTGAAATTTTCTCTTAAGGCAGAAAGCAAATGAGATACAACTGGATATAATCAGGACTGTTTCTTTCAATTCTTCCCATTACTTTTCGGCCTATGTAACGGAGTCATCGGTTTGTTACAGCTGCGAGTTCGAATCACGTTGGGGTTTTAATCGTATTGGGTTCTTACTTGGTCTTAATGAAAAAAAAAAAAAGAAGGTCCACACTTCATGTTAATGTTTTTCTTTTATTTTATTTAATACACAGTGAAAACTAGAAACAAATAACAAACATCTCTCTCAAAAGCGGAAATGGACAAAGAAATACACAAACAAGGTAAAATCTTTTCAAACTGAAATTACAACTTGAAACAAATTCTAAGAAAGGATAAAGGGACACATGGTATCTTAGAGGAGAATTTCAGATTAAGTAGTACGAAACAGATATTTACCGTGTTACCTCATATATTGTGAAATAAAATTATTTTTCTGTTGCCAGAGCACCGGCGAAATATGTTGAATTTTTCCACGTTTTCCATGTTTCTTTCAATTCTTCCCATTACTTTTCGGCCTATGTAACGGAGTCATCGGTTTGTTACAGCTGCGAGTTCGAATCACGTTGGGGTCACCAGTTTTAATCGCAGATGAACACTATGAGATTAATCATTTAATTTCTCGTTGAAAGAATTTGCAATTCAGAATGAAAAACTTATTTTATTCAAAAAAAAAAAAAGAAACAAAGAAAAAAAAGCTCTGTGAGCAGTCGGTAAATTATTTTTTTTTTAAGCATTTCACCCCTAGCAAGGCGGGAAGCCACTAGCACGCAAGGGGTTATAGAGGATTTGGAGCGAGAGCAGGTAGGAATGATAGAGGAGAGGATGGGGAGAAGGAAAGAGGATAGATCAAGGCAACTGGAGACGTTGATTGACATTACATTTGAACAGTTGTAGATTATAGCTCTCAGGGAAACAGGAATAGGGAAGAGTGTTCCACAGCGAGAGGTGCGAGGTATGAAGCTATTGGAGTAGAAGAGACGGCTACATTTAATAGTTTCAACAGTGAAAGCGTGAGAGCGGGATGCCAGCCTCGTAGGGCGCTTGAATTCATAAAGTCTGGGAACCAGCGAATGCAGCTCCTCGGAGCAATTACCATGAAAGTATTTGTAAAAAAGACAGAGAGAGGCGACGACGCGTCTATGAGAGAGCGACTGCAGACGAGATGCCAGATCGGGGCCAATTATATTGCATATCCGTCTCTGGATCTTATCAAGAACCCCGAGGCAAACAGTAGGGGCTCCAGACCAAATATGGCAGCAATACTCTTTGCTAAGGCGAATGGTTGATTTGTAGATTTGAAGGATCGATTCCGGGGAGAAAAATTTCCTGGCGCGGCACAAGGAGCCAACTTTCCTTGCGGTGGACGAAGCTGTTGACTCAATGTATTTGTTCCATCTCAGGTCAGTAGTCAATGTGTGACTGAGCAGTCACAAAGAGGCGCTCTCGTGGAGTTGAGCGTCAGACATTCTAATGGTGGGGTAGCAGGGATGGTTCTTTGTGGTGTGTAATAGAGAGCAGTTTTGTTTTTGAGGCGTTAAAGTTAACCAGCCAATTCCTGCCCCAGTTCACAACCGATCGGAGGTCCTTTTCGAGACAAACGGCCAGGTTAGTTTTGTCAGCGACACTAGATTTGTTTTTGAGGCAGGAGTAAATTGTAGTGTCATCCACGCAGATGCCTAGGTTTATTCTATTACGACCTCTTAGAATAATACAAGGTATGCACAAGATATCTTTATTGCTAACAACGAGTGATGATTAACGCATAAATACACTAATTTTGGTTCACAGGAAATATTCTTCAATTTAGTAAAATACGATGATGCGTGTCTTCAGAAAAGACACATCGGAGTTCCGCTCAATAATTCAGAAGATCTAATCATTACGTTAGAAGAACCTACCTCAGCTTCCATATTCATTTAACTCAACAACGTCTTCACACTTTCATTTACTCCTTGGATTGGACTTTCATTTAACTCCAATTGGACCATTTTAACAAAAACTTTGAAAATAAGGAACATATCAATCCAGTCTTATCAGAATCATTTTACGTCTAGATTCGAACATTTTTTAAGAAGAAAAGAGATCCTTTCCTCGTGATATTTTGTCATTACTACTTTCGATGTTTATGCTCTTGACAAATAAAGCTTACGGCAATATCCCGTTCAAACACTATTTCTCATGCAATCACCGGAATTAAGCAACGTTGAGCCTGCTCAGTACTTAGATGGGTGACTGCTTGGGAATACCAGGTGCTGCGAGAAAGTGCAGCGGATAACGTCTCGGAATTGAAAATCAGAGAGCCGAGTTCCAATTCCAACCGGATTTGTTATATTCATTTAGGCGAAAATATCCATCGGAAAAGAATGAATCCACCTCTTCCCCTCCAAGTTATGGACTAATAAGAAGGACTTAAATCAGTAAATCATTATTATCCCCATAAAACTTTTACAGTCTAAAAATATTTTCTGGCTTAAAATAACCTGCAACGGGTTGATAAGCCGTAAAAAACAAATCACTATGAACAACAAACAAATTTAATTAGAATGGGTTTTTATTCCATTCAACATCATCCGACATTTCCGAAGAAACAGACGCATTCACTAACACAACAAATGTTATTTATTTGTGCTAAATTATATGGTATGTTTCGTCCATAACGAGCTCTTAGAGTCAAGAAGGAACATAAATTGCTCTGATCTGGTCAAGTGAAACTATGTGGTCCTTCAGAATGACTACGTAAAGTCATACTCAGTAAAATAAACACAGGAGAAGAGAAAATCGATTGATTACCCATAATGAGGAAAGAGGGCTTAAAGAATTTGACACTCACAGGACAAATTGAACGCAAGATAGGCAGAGAGAAAGATCGAATAACTTACTTAACGAGCAGGCAGGTAAGGGGGAAACTTGTTTAGAGTTACTAAGAAAAGGAAGCTGTGGAGAGCCATGATCTCCTACGTCCGGAAAGGACACGGCAGATTAAAAAAGAAGTAAAATCTACCTCAGCCTCTATATTCATTAGATTTAACATTTTTGATTTTCATTAATTGCAATCTAGAATATTTTCTTAGTAGGAAAATAATTAAAAGTGTAGCGATATCAGTGTCAGCCGACATCTTTTAAAAGCAAAAAAGAAACATCTGAAAGATGTTACAGAAATTGTTTCGACTGTTATTGTCTGGATGATTATAGACTAAGTGAAGCGGATCTCACAAGAACCATGTCAAACGATCCTGATAAAAAGTTCACTTAGTGAAGCCAGACCCCGACGACATGAATTACTTTTTTAGATGAAAGGTGACAGGAGAAAGAAAGTTTGTCCTGTATAAGACAGTGGTCACTAGCAGCCGAAAACAGAGAACCGCTTACCGCGACGCAAAAAGGAAAGCGCGCACCCGCCAGCCGATTAGACCACTCACCCCTCACATCATCTCTGCTTCATTGGTCTACAACAGAAGGTTAAAAACAGAAGAAAAAATTGCCTACTGCTACAATTTCGTTACATGGATTTATTACATGGGTAACGTTCTGGCCAAACAGTTATTTTGTAAGTCACAAGCGTTTGACAGGCAGAAGCTGCACCCTGATAACGAACCTGACGTCTGATCTGAGCTGCAACACTACATAAGGTGCGATTGTCATTTCTGCTAAAGGTGATTCACCCAAGCAAGGTAATAAAAACTCTAAGACGCAATACTGAATGTGAAAGAATCTGAGAAAAAAAAAAGAACATTATTAAGGGGAGAGGACTATAAAAGAAAATATATTAAGGAGAAACAAGATGAAGATTAATATTGCATTTAAACTGTTGAAGATCAAAGTTGATTGGAAAGCAAGAAGCCGGATGAGAGTTCCACATGAGAGAAGTGTGAAAGAAGAAGCTGCTAGCATAGAACTTACGGTTACGTCTAGCCAGCTCAGCTGTAAAATGATGAGACCAGTTGTCAATATAATACTATGCTTAAATTGGTAAAAGTCAAATTATCAGAGAGGAAAGCTCATCAGAACAATTACCATGAAATATATATATATATATATATATATATGAGAAATATAATTTATTAAATAAATTAATTTTATATATTAATAATAATATTAATTTTAAATGTAAGTAAAATAAAATGAAATATTAATATATTAATATAAATTAATATAGAATGTTAAAAAAATAAAAATATTAATAATAAAATTAAATTTAATATATAAATTATATAAGGATTATATATAATGGAAGCATATATATTTACTATTTCTATAATATAATTACTAAACCTATCTATTAGTAAAAAATAAAATTTTTCATCGAATCGTTCGGGTGTCCACCAAAAAAAAGAAAAAAAAAGAGTAAAAGTGGGCCATGGGTAAAAAAATGTTGAGAAGCACTGGGTTAGAAGGACCTACCTCAGTATCCATATTAATTGAATCTAACACTTTCCAATATTCATTTTCATCAATGGGACACATTCCAGTCAGCAAGACCTTTAAAAGGAGACAGGAATCAATTCAGCGTTATCAGATTTCTTTGACATCTTGAAAACTCAGTCTTTGTCTCAAGAAAGAATAAAAGAAATCCTTTCATTATGAAATTTTTTCATTACTACTGATTATTATTATTATTGTCTTGACAAATTTTCAATTTCGTTACATTTAAATATAAGTCCAACATAATGCAACATTATTTTTTCCGAAAAAACAACAAAATTTCCTACCATCGTGTTATGCAGTAGGTTTCGTCCAGGACGAGCTCGCAGAGTAAGTTAAGCGGGAAGACTTAAATATAAAATACCATTATACAGACAAATAAAACTTTCATGCTCCAGAATAACAATATAGAGCTACACTCAGTAAAATAAACTTCGAAGGACCTACCTCAGCATCAATATTGATTAAATTTAACACTTCCCCGCTGCTATGGCGGAGTCAACTAAAGAAAATAACCGTACGGAGTTATCGGTCTTGATCAGGGAATTTGGGTCTGGAGAGGACTAGAACAATGGCGGACAAATAAACACACATGGAAATCATGGCTCTATTCAATCTTCTTCCATCCTCTATTTACGTTGTCGGCATTATAAAAAATAATGGTTTAAATAATAACAATATCTTATCTTCAACTTGATTATTTCGTTATACCACCCACCTATTTTTAATTTGGTCAGTGAAACACATTCCAAGCGACAAAACCATTAGAAGTAGGAAAGGAATCAATTCAATATTATCAGAACTCTTTGACGCCTAGAAACCCAGTTTTTTTGTCATGAGAGAATAAAAGAAATTCTTTCATCGTGGGATTTTGTCATGATTACTGATGATGATTATGATGATTGTGTTTCTGACAAATACGTTTAGATTTAGATTTTGATCCATCCAAATGGCGTCCCGTCTACCATATTTCGACTTTTTTTTCTAAAAAAATAACGCAATTGCATCGCCAGTGATATTTGCATCTCCTGTATTCTAATCAGCCTCTTAACCTATCAACAACTAACATATCGATTTCTTCTTTTAAGTGCTGTCTCCTTCCATGACGTAGGCGATCATGACCCTCTACATCTTCCTGTCCATTGTAGCTCTTAATAAGTTTTATCTTTTTGTTATTTCTCCCAAACCCTATTCTGCCATCCATTTATAAAAGCTCATCATTTCTTCTGTCCCTTTTCCCTCTCAAACTGTACAGTGACTATCAGATTTTCCAAGCCTTCTCTCCTCATTACATGCTTCATAAATTTCAACTGCCACTTCCTGAGGTTAAGTATAAGATTCCTTTTTGTTTCCATTTTCTCCAAAACCTTGTTGTTGCTCACATGTTCGGTCCATGGTATCCTCAGCATCTTTCTGTAGAACCACACGTCTCTTTGAGCAGATTGTCCAGCATTCGCTGCTCTACAGGAGAACAGATATCATGTAACAGTTCAGCAATCTTTTCTTTGTTTCTAACGAAATTTTTCTGTCTCTTAATACTCTGCTTAGCTTTTGGAATGCATCTTCGGCCATCTCAATACATTTTCGAATCTTAGTGTCACACTTTCCGTCCTCTCTTAGAACACTTCCCAGATATTTAAATTTCTGTATTTGTTTGATTTTAAAATCAAGACTTTAAATTTTCTTAAAGTGGAACATGACACAAATCAACGTCCAGTCAGGATCAGATGATTTCAGGGTGCACTTTCTGTTAGAAGAATGGAAGAAAGTAAACCTTGATGTTGTCTATATGCAAGAGGTGCGGCAACTTGGTTGTGACTCTATTGCGAATTTAGGATACATTTTATTTGGGGATGACCACAAGAAAAAAAAGACCAGATGGAATTGCAATACGTAAATCATCAAATATTGTATCTTGCAACAGTCAGAAAGGCTGATTGTTGCCGACATTGTTGTTCATGGCTGTAAGATTCAAATGATATTAGCTTATGCCCCAACTGAAGAAAGTGTTGTTTCAAAAAAAAAAAAACAAAAAAAAAAACTGCAATGCATTAAGTAAACATTGAACTTGGTGTAACAGCAAAATTGTCCAAATTGTGTAACAGCAAAATTGTCCAAATCGTGTAACAGCAGAATTGGCCATCCCAGAAAATGTTTAATAGCTAAACAAACCACTAAACTAATTGAGTTTCTTTTTTCCAGGTTTTCAGATAACACGTTTAGCCATCTTGACGCCATTTGACGTGAGAATTACGGAAAAAAACCTTTGAGTTATTCAGCTAGAAAGAGAACAGGTTAAAATCGTTTTGTGTCAGCCCCTCTATGTCTTCCCAGCTGAGCAATGGTGAAATGAAAAAGGTCATTCACGCCTTCAATAATGGTACCAACATTCATACTCTGGCTTTCGTCATCAAAGTCCATTCAAGAACATCAAGAGAAAAGTGAATAAGTATAAAAAAGAGGAAACAGTAGAGAAGAAAACTGGATCAGGAGGTCAAAACAGGAAGAGGGATCATCATTTCAACTTAGAGTTAAAGAGATCAATTAGAAAAGATCCAACTCATTCTATAAAACGTTTGGCACATGAAAGAGGAAGTTCACATCTTATAGTCCAAAAAGCAGTGAAAAAAGACTTGAAAATGAAATCATAACTGAAATGTGTGTGGCAACTTGTTACTCCAGGACAGAAAATTAGAAGGTTAGAGAGAGCAAAGATAATCTTGAATAAGTTGGAAAATGATGCTGAAATCATATATATATATATATATATATATATATATTTGAACTTTATTTGAATCCTTCATGAACTTTAGCTTTTAATTAATTAATAATGAA